TGTGCAAAATCAGGGCCAGAGGCCTCGCTGGCAATGCAGCAGCTATTCAAGAATCCTGGACTTAGAATAAATCAATCCAGCTGCATGATGCATACAACAGAGCCAAGAGCACAGACAGACCACTTTGGCAATGACTATCTTCAATTTTATGTACAAGCAAAGCAACATCAACAAACAAAATCCAACCAATCTGCTCCTGAGTGCAGGATGCATTTAGAACATTAATTGTCGAAACACAGCCCGCATGGTCCCCCATACAAATTATGATGTGTTTAATAATACCTTGCTAGAGGTGAGCAAAATGCTGCAGCTGGGCTGGAAAACTCCATAGTCCTGGACTCCAGCACTTCTTTGCCTGGAATAAACTTCAGGCTGTTTGGGTTTGGTGTGTCCTGAGTTTGAATAAACATGCATCTTACTGGAAATTAAAAGAAAAAAGGAGGAAAGTTAATGTAATCAAATGTAAGTAGCTTAAATGAAAGGTAAGGATCCTGATTATCTAGCAAGTGAAAAGACTGGAGTGGTCACTGTGCAACAACCACAGCAGTTTGTGCAAAAATGATGCATTAAAAATCACAACAGCATTCAGACCAATGAACAGAGCCATATTATCTTACAGGAAACAAGATAAATGCAGCCTTATCTTTGCCTCTTGTGCTCTTATCTACTGAAAGGCACCTGACTGCAGCAATACAAAGCTGCAAAGGTTCAGTGCCATCCTCACTTTCTACTGAGACCAAGAGATGCAATGCTCACTCCTTGCTGTGTTCAGGTATACCAGCAGCTATTTAAGAGCCATGTGGATGAGGCACTCAGGGCTACGATTTCGAGGTGGTAGCACTGAGTCATAGACCTGTTGATCCTGAAGCTTTCATTCCAACCTACACTATTCTGCCACTCTATGGCGTATGGCTGTACTTTTTTTTCCCAGTCTCTCAGCATTGTATTTACAGCACACCACACCCTGTTTGTAACACACTGGCTGAATTACTGTAAGCTATCACTTACACTGCAGAAATTGAACCAACAACTGAAGATCCAATTGCTGGATTCTACTAAAGGTGTTCAAAAGATACATTTCTACTGAAATTCACTGTGGGCTGCAGGTGTTCCTTACACACAAGATTGTAAAACTGAATAAAAATATCTGAATAAAAATGAGCATTCTATGTCTAATGGTGTACGTTTAACAGTGTGTTTTCCCGTAGACGTGTCACAACATTTACACAATAGCTACTATTGATAGCTGGACTGAACGATCTTAGTGCTCTTTTCCAACTTTAATGATTTGACAATTCCACAGGGATGGGAGAGCTGCTCTGCTCACTTTGGCATCCAAAATCTCATCTGGTTGTCAGCTCAACTTGCAGGTAACCTGCAGCAGGGGATTTGGATGGGGGATATTCAGTACACTGCATTTGTTAGAGCATCTCGAGCACCCTGTAATGCAGCTGGCTGTGTCAGCTCCTAAGAATGGCATCTCCATGTGAGTAACCACTTTATTTTATAAGCATCTTCTGCAGCTGCAGATCTGCCTTCCCATGGCCAGATTTTTCAATCATTAATCCACCTGGAGTTCTTTGTACAACTGTAAATAACCCCATCAGAATGTATTGCTGGGAACTGGCCATGTTCACAGCTGAATTCTGTAACACTTTGTGTCTGCCCACCGCTCACATTTCACAGATTTTGTTTTCCTTTCTGTTGAGCTTCCAAAAACCTGTTAGGCATTACAAACCCCACCCTAACCACTGCTTTTTCAGCGTAATGCTACATTACCATTGCAGGTGTTATTAATGCAGAATGTCATTAACACGCCACACAAGGGCACACATTGAAGGGGAGGGAAATTAAAGAAAGCACTACAGCTCTGGAAATGAAAACTGTACTTTCTTCCTTGCTCAGCTTTCTGGACACTTCATCTTGCTGAGCTCAGCAGCTGAAGTGGGACGCAGCATTACAAGGGGTGTTTACAAGGGATGCATTTACACTAAGACAAGATTTAAATTAAGAGGTGCAGCAAAGCCCAAATATTTTACACCAAAGCACCTCATAGGTCTTGGCAGATGAACAGCACAGAGAACACAAGTATAGCCAAGCACAAAATGAGCCATGCATGTCTTCTCGCCAGGCTTCAAATGTCCAGTACTGACAGTACTCCATTAAAAACACACAGGAAACAACTCAGGAAATTTTATCACGCTCAGATTTCAGAAGAACAGTTAGGTTTTTGTTATTGCCACAAGACATGGATTCCCACAACACCCTCAGTGATTATTTTTAGCTAGCATTTACCTGTATTATGCAAGACTACAGATGGAAGAAGCTGCTTCCTCCATGCAAGTTGGTGGAAGGGCTGTTGAGTTGTCAGGTTATGACCTTTTAACATCATGTGACAAATCCTAGAGAAATCATAACATCACTATGAGCTTCTAAATCACAAGGCTGTACTTCCTGCACAGCCTACAGCATTCCTCTGTGCCCAGAACGCAGCACAGTCCCCTCCTACCACAACCCTATGCAGTAACAAAGCAAGTCAGCAGCTCAGATTGTGGCACCCCCCCCCCCCCCTTTTTTCTTTCATTTTTCAATTCTCCCTTTCTCCTACTTCACAAGAAAACAGACCTAATTCTTCAATTTCAACCACATAAAAATTAATCTATACTCCTTCACATACCTGTAAGAGAAGAAAGGTCACCCCATGAGAGCGTTTTGACGCTACCATGAACCTGGATGTCCAGATTGGATTAAATACCTCATTTTCAGAAAATCAGACAGCTGAGATGAACTCTGACCACCCACTGCTAAGTAAAGGCAGAATTTGCTATCACTGTCAACCAACTACAAGAGGCCATTAGTGGGGGAGTAGAGGGAAAAAAACCAGAGAAGCAAGCAAGGAGAATGACAGAACAAGAGGTGGCTTTCAGATGCGTAAATGCTTGCTGCACAGCCAGCAGGATACAAATACTGCTTTTCACATGTGAACTCAGCTCATAACCAGTCAGGGATATGGAGAGCTAAGGGACAGCCAAATTCAGAAGGCTGTGTGGCTGTACATGGTGGCAAAAGGAGTAATAACTTCTTTGACTTCTTTACAGGGGAGATGCAAATCCAGAAAAGGTCCAAAAGGCCCTTCCCATGATTCCCCTAAATGACTCTGCAACTCCCCTCTTCTGTGCAGACTTGCATACAGAGTCCACAAAGGGATGTGTTCCCAACAGTTCTTCCTCCTTCAGCTCTGGGAGAACCAAAGAACCAAAGCAGAGAAACAAATGTTCCAAAAGTAAAACAAAGCAGACAAAAGAAAGGGGATTTTTACCATCTGTATCCCCACTGCGTGCAGGAAAACTACACAGAATGATCCTCTCTCCTGTTTGCTTCTCCTTTAAGAGAAACAAAGGAGAAAGGTAAACCAGAAACAGGAGGGTATGGGCACAGGACCACACATTTGATGTTCTAAGTGAGCACAAACATATGAATAGGTGTATGTAAAGGGCTTTTATCCGTGTAGGGAAAAAGAATTAACCCCCCTTTACCAAAGGCTTAGTTACAGTCCTCATTTCCCACATTCAGGGCTGCAGATTGCCTCTAATTTCACAGCCCCTTCCCAGGGAAGTGGCTTTGCCCATCACTAAGCTGTCCTCTGTGCATCTGGGCTGTGAATTTCCCCTCAGTGCACAGCCCTGGGGGTGGGGGGGTGGAGGGTGTCTCAGTATTGCACCACCCTAAAGACAACTCGGGGGGAAATAACTACCCCTTCCTGAGCACATTTGCAGGGGATCAGCCCTCACTGCAGCTCCTGGAAGTGTTTTGGGGAGGGATCAGCACTCATTGCAGCTCCTGAGCACATTTTGCGGGGATCAGCATACACTGCACAACATTTTTTGGGGGGATGAGACCTCATTGCAGCTCCTAAGGGTGTTTTTTGGGAGGGGTCAGCCCTCACTGCACGCCCCGGGGGCATTTCGGGGGGTATCAGCCCCTCATTACAGCTCCTGAGGGCGTTTTTGGGGAGATGAGCTCTCATTTTACACCCCTGAGGGCATTCCGGGAGGAGCAGCCCTCACTGCCCCTCTGTAACTAAGAGGAAGGGGAGGACGTAACTTCACCCACATCCGCCCCGCTGCGTCAGGGAAGGGGAAGGCCAAGAAAGCTCGGAGCGCCCCAGGGAGCTCAGAGAGGAAGGGAACGAGTATGAGGGTCGCACACCGGGATCCGTGCGCCGGCCCGGGGCAGCCCGGTGCTCGCAGTCACCTACCGGCCGCCCAGCCCCGCAGCCGCGCCGAGCCACCGCGCAGCCGCCATCTTGGCGCTCCTCAGGGCCGCCGCTCCGCCCCGCGCACTGCAGCGCCCCCTGGCGGCCAAGGCCGACAGAGGCTCTCGCGGGCGGGAACGCGCCTGGGCGGCGCCCCCCGCGCCCGTCAGCGCCGTTGCAGCTCCCTTGATTCTTTCCGAGCGCCCCGCCGCGGTGTCAGGGACAGCCACTCACCCTGAGAGCAAAAAATAGTGTCGTCCCCTCCCCCCCCCCAGTATTTCCTCTTTTTCCTTGCAATCTTTTCCCTCAGCATTCCTATTTTCCCCTCAATATTTCATTTTTTCCATTTCCTTTTTGCTCCTCTGTATTTCCTTTTTTTATGTTTGTATTCTTTTTTTTTTCCCTCTCAGTATTTCATTCTCCCCCTTTTTCTCTTTTTTCCTCGATATTTCTTTATTTCCTCAATTTATCATTTCTTTTCCCCTCACTTTTTCCTTTTTTTCAATTTTCTTCTTTTTAATTTAAGTCAACATTTGGAGTTAGTCTGAAAGACCTGTGAGGGTCCCTTTCAACTCTATTCAACTTCAATTCTATGAAAATTTCATTTTTTCCTATTTATCTCTCCCCCTCAATATTTCCTTTTCCCTTCAATGCCACCCCCCTGACCCCTCAATATTGCCCTTTTTACCTTTTATTTCCCAATTCTGCACACAGAGGAGAGAAGGACAGCACAGGGACAACGTGCTGTAATCAGGTACAGCTTTAATAAATGTACAGAAGTTTACAGCTTGAACATTTCTTCATAGTGATTACCAGGAACACAGACATCACACCCAGAACAACAACACAACTCCGTCCATTTCCGTAGCCATACAAATCTGAGACCCTAGGCATCACCAGCGCCAGGAGGGGAGCAGGAAACCCCACCCCCAAGTGGGGACAGGGAACCCCCAGCCAGCACCAGCCCCAGGATGAAGCCAGAGGACCCCAGAACACCTCCAGGCCCTGGGATGAGGACAGGGGATCCCAGAACATCACCAGCCCCATGATGGGATCAGAAGAACCCCAAGGATGAAGACAAGGGACCTCCAGCCACCACCAAGCCCCAGGATGGGGCCAGAGGACCCCAGGACATCACCAGCCCTGGGATAGGACCTGAGGACCCCACATAGCAGTCCCAGGATGGGACTGGGAACACCAGAACATCTCCAGCCCCTAAGATGGATACAGGAGACCCCAGGACATCACCAGCCCCCAGACAAGAACAACATGATGGCCAACGGAAACTTCGGGCTGTGGCATAATTTTAGGAATACTGACACGTTGGATCAGGTTTCAGGAATGTGTTTCAGAAGAGGAACAAGATTTCACCATCAGGGTACCTGCTGTAAGAATGCTTTGGAGTCTTTTGGTGTACTGAAAGGCCTTAAATTAACACCATGAACACAGAGGAAAAAAAAAAAATTCAACTCCCCAACACAAAAGTCTTTGGTGGAAGCTGAGTTAAAGTAACCAATTCCCACTTTGGAGTGACAGAGAATTCAACAATTAAACAGATCTCACTTGGCCGTGCCTGATTAAGTGACACTGAGGATGATTGCTGATGCAATGTGAGCTCTGTGCACACCATTCCTACAGGTGAGCTTCAGTAGCCCCATGCTGTTGTGCAAATGTGGCAGTGAGGCATGGAGAGCCCAGCATGATGCTTCTTCCTTTTTGTTTTCGCATGCAGATACTGTGATTAATGTCTTAAGTGCATTGCTGACATTCAGTTGGCGATGAGGAAGAATTGTGTCTACGACTGTCGCAGGACCAAGGTGTGTTCTGAGGACCCAGAGCAGGATATGCTACAGCTCTGGACAGGTGGAACCAGTGGCTTTGTTCAGAAAATTGACCCCAAAATGCTGCATTTAGGCCATACCGGCTCATTTAATTAACAGCACCAGTAAGGTGGTAAAGAAAACTATAAGCACAATCATTCCACCTTCATTAGAAACAGCTTCATAATACAGAAGTGAAATTTTGGATTATAATCCATCATGCTAAAGCTGCCATACTGGCCACGCAGAATCGGGAGATTAGAAACTACAATGCTATACAGAAAAAAATCATACTGAAATTCAGTTTTCTGACCACAACCATAAGTCCCATTCCTTAATAAGTCACAAGCAGAGATGCAAACAAGCTGCCTCTAACCCCAAAAGTACACGTAAAACCATTGAAGCTGGCAGGCTTGTTAGCTTGTGGGGCACTGTGTAAAGTGCTTGCAGAATATCCATTGCCAAAATCCCAGCTGGAAGTCCAGCCCAACTCAACTTGAATGCGCTCTGTCCCTTCATCCTGTGGCAGTGCAGGGCAGCAAGGTCTGAAGGGCAAGAGCTGGACAGTGGGTGAATGCTTCTCCAGCTATGCTACTTTCAAATTTTATTTTATTTTTCTTAAGTGCAACTTGGATGTGGCATTGTAGGAAGTTTCACACATTGATTCAAAGGCAACTTTTCAAGTAAAAACTGAAGAAAAGCAGAGAACCTAAATCCAGTTAGCAGAGCTAATACCTTGAACTTGCACATAGCAATGCCTTGCACTTTTGGGGATATATTCGAATGGGAAAACCCAACGAGAAGGAAACACCATCAACAACAGCCTCAGCTTAGTTGAAAACTTCTCCATGGAACCCAGAAATCTCCCTACAGTATTTACTGCTACTACCACTGGTGGAGGAACACAGGAAAACAGCACCCTGACAGCCCTCCTGTTCTCAGGTGTCCCAACTTCTCCCTGCCCTCCAGCAATCTCAAGGTTGAACACACCCAGCAGCAGCACTGGCTCACCTCTTGCAACTGGAGATATTGGAGGGAAACCGAGATTGGGGTTCTACTTGTGCTTTGCTCTCCACCTCCTGCTGGTTGGGGCTTTTCCACCCTCCCCTTCCTGCTGGCCATAATCCAGCAAAAGGGAATTCTGCCCTCAAACCTCAGTGCAAAGCTCTGACCTAACAGGATGAGGATCAAATTCCCTCAGGAAACAGACACTGCAAAGTTTCTAAGGGATTCAGTAGAAACTACCAGAGTCAACAGAGATTCTTCCCCAGATGTCAAGCCCTTGAAAATGAAAACAAAACACTTTTCTTGGGAGACATCCTGCAGCACCAATGCCTGACACAGGAACACCACACAGCGACTGTGAGCCCCCACATCTAGATAACCTGAAAGCAGCCCACACTTACAGCCTTTCCTGGCCAGGGATAGCACTATTTTTCCACCAAACACAGCATCAGGATTCTGCTCCAAAGGCAGAACAATCAGCAACAAGTTGCCTTTCTCTTTGGGAACACAGCAGGAAGCACAAGATATCCAAAGAACACCAAATATTCCCAGAGGAGCATGAACAGATTTTGTTGGAGGTCATCTTAGTTGATAAAAGGTCAAAACGATAAACCCAAAGTCAAGCTCTCTGCTGGCATCTACCAGCTGAACCAGACTGCAGACAAGGCCAAATTACACCAAGTGAGACACACAGACCAGGAAAGCCATCCAGGTGTCTTCACAATAAGCTTTTCCACAGGACTTACATACTCACATACTCTCCTTTACAACACCAAAAGCAGATTTCTGGGTCCTACATTCAGGGAAATCCCACACTCTTGATCTTTTAATTTTCCATGTAACAGCCCAACAGATCTCCTTCTTGCAGCTTTAATTCCTAATCTGGAGCATTTGCAACAGAGCAGAGCAAGACAAGCAACAGAAGACACTGACTGACTTCATGCATGACACACATACCCTGGAGCTGCCAGGCTCACTGTCACCATCAGCAGCAAGAAGTGTCACCTTGCTGTCCTCCAGAAGCCCCAACTAATGGGAAATCTCTATAAGCCCTGAACCTGTGAAATAGCTTCCTTGCCATAGCACCAGCCAGTCTCACTTGACTTGCTCTGTAATTAAAATGCCAGTTAATTAACCTTACAGTGCCTTTCCCTAGTCAGAGCCAGAAGGTATGGCATATTGCTGACAAAATGACTTGGGGAAGGCAGTGAGAGGAGGAAGAAAAGAAGTAACTGAAGAGGATATGAGGATCCTGAGAGCCAGGCATTCTGACTAGCTAACATAACTTAAAACGGTTCTAAACGGTTCTACTGTATCACTGCAAATAGAGTTCTGACTGAAAAATTATATATGTGTTGGCACACATATATAATATATGCCAACCAATTCGACAAAGAGTTTTGAGGTCTTGTGGGAAGCGTTCTGCTGGGAACACCCCCAGCTCACAGCACATTAAGGCTTTTGCTTTGCTGCTTTGGAAGGAAATGGTGCTGAAGCAAAAGGATCGGCTGCGGGCAGCTCCGTAGTCCTGGCAGCCAGCGGGGCAAGGGAGACAGAGCCCGCTATGGCCTGCCTGTTGGTCTGAGAAACCACTTTGTAAGCAGCGATGGGTTGGACGTCGAGACCAGGCCCATCTTCCGGGCTGTAGTGACGGGAGTACTTGGACAAGGCTTGCAGACGGAAAGGCCGACTGTTCGCCACCGGGCCCAGCATGCATTCCTGAGGGCTGGGCTGGGCTGGGCTGCGCTCGCCGGGTTCCGGCTGCATGGTTGGAGGAGGGCTGTGCTCCTCTGTTGCTCTCACAGAAGGAGGAAGGTTGCTCAGCAGACCAAAGCCGGAAGGATACTGCAGCCTTGCTAATGGCCCGGAGACCACCGCATCCAGGCTTTGGAACGCAGGGGTGGTTCTGTGCTGGACATCAGCTGCTGGACTGAGGAACACGTGCGGTTCCTTGGGCACACTGTGAGACAACAACTCCTCCATGCTCTTCTTTTTGGTGAAAGGGGCTCTGAGGAACACATCTGCTTCCTCTGAGTGTCGGAGAGCCGCGCTGCTCTTGGAGATGAAAGGAGCTTTGGTGAAGACGTCTGCCTCATCGGGTGCTTTCCTGGAGCTGCGGAAAGGAGCTGTGGCAAAGACATCAGGTTCGTTAAAAACCTCCCCAGACTGCGACTGGAAGGCAGGGAACGGCGTCTCTGTGGCCTGCGTGTGGGGGTGCTGCTCCCTGGAAATGTCCCTCCTCTCCCTGGGCCCGGCCTGCAGGAAGCCCACACCCGGCCTGCAGCTTTCCTCCTCCTCTTCCGAATCCAGCAGCAAAGGCCTGGAGCCACTGCAATCCAGAATGTCCCCTTCGTGGTCTGTCCCCTCACCTTCGCTACTGTAGAAGGAGCTGTTGCTTGAAGGGCCATCACGTGTGGCATAGTCGAACTCAGCATTGGTCTGCGTTTTCACCTCTGGCTGAGTCTTGTACAAAGCAAGCCCATCGCTGGCAGTGGGACCTTTGCAGAGATCAAGAGGTACAGCTGGAAACAGGGCAGGATCCCTCTGCAGACCTAAAAATGAAAAAGAAAAAAAAAAAGCATCACTCAGTAAGTTGCAAAGAAAGATGAGATGTACTTAGCACACAAGAAATGTAATGATTTTCAGATTTAAACCACCACCACACATGGAAAAAAAGGGAAAGAGAGTGTAAATGAAATAAAATCAAAATGCCAGGGAGCGTATTTACTGCACGCAAAGGGACACAGATCAGCACCACTTAACAGCTCAGGGAGATTCAGGAGATGGGAGATGTCTGACAGACAAATGGGCACACTCAGCACCGCTCCACAGGAGTTCTGTGCCACTCACAACCACAACCAGAGAGCTCTGGACTTCGCCACACTGCTGCCTGGAGGGAGGCCCCAGTTCTTGTTGTTTTATTCTGCTTATCAACACGGGAGCGTCCTACCAGCAGATGCACAGCTTCGCACTGCTTCTTGGTGCAAGCCAGCCCACAGCTATGTGGAATCGCACCCAGGCACAGAGAACAGGCAGAGATGCCTTCCAATCTGCTGAATGTCAGCCTAGAGCTTTTGATGAATTCTGGTAACTATAGCAGCACTATTTTAAACCACTGCAAGACAAGTGATTTTAAACAATCCATACCACGATTGCAAATGAGGTAGCTAACATCGCTATACCAATCTGGCTGGCTTCTTGCTGGTTTAATAGGACAGTGCTTGCTGTACTGCTCTTCTCCAGCTACAGGAGCCCAAGAGGGGGTTGGTTTTGCCTCAAGACTCACGACAGACAGAACAGAAGATCTCTTACCTTCAAAGAACTATTGCCAGGTTAGGAGTATGTCATTGGACTCATGTTAGCAAGAGGATAGGAAAAAGCACGTGAGATCTAAGCAGTACGAATTGCAGGAAGAACAAGGGAGGTGGTTTAGTGCCCACTGACCAACAAGGCTCTACCCAACCACCCCTGTGGTGACAAAACAGCACTGTCATGTCCCCATAATAACATTAATCTGCCCTGTTTAGTGGTTTAGATTTACATATCTTTTGACAAAGTTAACCTTAGCCACATCTCAATTAAAGACACAGCACTCATTCATTAGGCATCAAAATCATTATTTATTGGGAAACTATTCACTTTGATACATTACACTGCTAAGTAAAGACAGTGTAGATACGTGAACATTCTGTAAGTTACTCTACAAAAATACTATCAATCTTCCCTGAAGCCCACGTTGCCAGCAATGGCTTAACCTTAGATGCTAAGCTCAGTTTGATAACAGGATATGTCTATAGTGTTTTCTTCTTCCAGGTTATATGTCACCAGGTATTTTCAAGGGATTTTGAGCTTACAGGGAGAAACAGAGCAAGACCCATTGCCGTACCACACAAATGCCTCTGCATTAACCCAGCCTTCACTGAAACACAGCATTCACAAAACAAGAAAAGGAAAAACGCATTTATCATAGAGAATATGGCAAACCAATGATCCAATTATCACAAGAACTGGGGAACCAAGTCATCTGAATAGGATTTTCCTTTTAAAGAGCTGCTTGCATTGGTTGTGCCTATATTCATGTAAGCAATGACAGTTGGGACAGAGTAAGAGAAGGGTCGACAGGCTGTAGGTTGGTTTTGGACAGCAGCAGCCTCTCCAAATCTGGAGGCACTGTAGGACAGGCAAAAATGCTTTATTTTGAGGGGAAAAAAAATACCATTGTTTTCTTGCTCTCCTGCCCATCGTAAGTGAGAAAAGCCTGGAATACTCAAACAGTTTTGCTATAGTGCCAGCATTTCACTTCAGCTGGGCACACATCCGATCAGACAATGGCTCAGACCTTTCCTCTCTCCACCCATAACCTCCTACGTTCAGATGTTTGAGTACATTTGTTTTTATTCTGCAGTTAGATACAAAGCAATTATCCGGAAAAAGGAGCAATTCCCCAATTATGTGCAGGCACAGTTTTCTTACTAAGGGAAAACCTCAGTGACAAACCCACCTTGGCATACCTGAGCACACCCTGCCATACAAAAGGCATGGGAAGCAAAGCTTCTGCTTCCAGATTGCCTGCAAAGCCCCAGAAAATAGGTTACAATCCCACATGCAGAGAGCAACTCGAAGACACGACTTAAACCCGAGCTATAACACTGACACACAAGATTCCTGCCTTCCATAGGAAGCACCAGAAGCGACAAGGTACTGAAATAGCTGATGGGTGAGCTGTAAAACATTTCCTCTCCCTTTTACAGGGGCTGCAAGGAGGCAGAGGAGCCACTGAGATGATCTCACTTTTGGATCTGAGCCCTATACACTAGGGGAAGGCAGAGACATTCCTGGAGCCTAATGCTGCTTCTCAACCAAACAAGTAAGTCTATCTGGCTGAAGTCAGGAAGGTCTCAACAACACATGGTAACAGGCAGCTAAAAAACCTGTGCAGTTACTACTAAGCAAGATTACTAGCTTACCTTTAAAAAAGGTTAACAAATTTCTCATTCCTTCATTCTTGAAATAGCAAACAACCAAACACTGAAGCTCTGTAGCACCCTTCCCATATCACTGGACAATTCAGGCAGCAAAATGAAGCACTTTTACCCAAAGCTGCTGCATAGCACAGGGGGAGTAGCTCCAGTGTCCCTCACTTCCAGAAATAAGAGATTTCATGCTCTGGTTTTGGCACACGTTGCATAGTGCAAACAACTGTGCAAAGTGAGGCAGGGCAGGAACTGAGGGCACCACCTGCACTCACTAACTGCAAGAAAAATGCAGGAAGAAAGTGAGCTCCCCCCCTTCTGTGTATTGTACTAGAGCAGTGCAGTGTTAATGTGCAGCATACACACCTCAAAGTCGTCACAGGAATGATTCTGACCCAACAGCAGCAGAGCAGACCAATAAGCCTCACTCACAGAGCTCTCCCTTATGTTACACTCACTCCTCCCTAAAATCCAGGCCAGGTTCTACCAACTGCTATATATGAGAGTTCAGAACTAGGCAGGAACTGTATTGGCTAACAAGAAATTAGCTTACTTTACACAGTCACGCATGCACACACTCAAAGTACTCGTGCAGCATACCATTTCATACCACTTGTGCATTTCCTTGGGTAACTCCAAAACTTGTTTGACTGCCTTTGGTCTGAAGAGCATCAATTTCAGTAACATGATTTTTTTTTTTTTTTAAATGTATCAAGTTTTTTTAAAAACAAGGCGGCTTAGGAAAGCCACTGAGACGATACCCTGTGAGGGTTCAGGCTGAAGAACACACTGGAAACAGAACCTCCTGAGCCCTTCCAAGTATAAATATGGCCATTATCATGCACTTAGATTTAGATGCAGTGGGTCTGCCACAAAGGCTCAGATGCCAAGCCTCTTGCAGCCAGCTCTCAGACTTTGCAGCACACCTAAGCTGTCAGGATGCACAATGCCTGCAGCACGGGCCAGTCCTTCATTCACCTCCTGTTCCACCAAGCTGCAAGGAGCCCAGTGATGATGGGGCAGGCAGAATTGAGGAAGCCATAACAGCCTGGTTTGGGTGCAGCTGCAGCTGACAGTAGATAGTCAGAGACCAGATCTACTGCTGAGACCTACCTGCCCTATTCCAATATAAAATTTAACCACCATAAAAAAAGTTTATTCTTGCATCATGACCATAACCCTGCGCTGAAGGGAAGTTGCTTCGTGTACTGCAGTTGCATTTGAAGCACCAGGAGGATCCATCAAAACCACCAGTGCCAAAAAGTACACAAAGGCATGACAAGCTAAAGCTTAGTGGGGCAGGAAGTCTCCTCCATTACCCTGACGTGAATAAAAGGTACAGAATATAATCACTCTGCTGCTCTTTGCAGACTGCAGGTTCATACTACAAACAACACCTTACAACCCTTGAAAGGAGGGAGGAAACATTTCCCACAGCTCCAAACAAGGCTGCAACCATTGTAAAAGAACCATTTTTACACTACGTCAGGATACGGTACCAAATTTCTCTCATGTGGACACTGGATGAAAACTCAGCGTGTTCCTTCACAGCAGCAGCTTTCACACAAACTCCTCAGCAGCACACCATTACTGACCTATTGCTTCTAGAACAATCACTTTTTGGAGAGCTTAAAATTAACCTCATATATCCACCCCCACCTTTCCCATTTCTTGCATTTTTCATTCAATTAGCAAGTCAGTGTTGAGTCTTCTCTGACACAGCAGCTTTAGCCAAAATCTCTAAACACACGTGCTTCTGTTGTGCTGTATTCCCCACCCAGCTCCACAAACAGCTACTTGAAAAAGCAATAAAATGAACATTCACATCTGCTTATTTAATAGCATTATTAACAACCCAGTGCATTTATAATTTTTCCAGAACCCTTGAACAAGTGCCATTAGATTTAAAATCTTAAACATTCTTTAAAAGTACTTTAATTCACAGAAATTTTTGTTTCTAATATACAGTAGATGGTTACTTTTTAAAATCCATTCTCTTTTCATATATTCTCAATATCTGACTATACAATAACTTTCTATCTATAACATCTTCATGTTTTCCAGTCCAGCTTGCCTGTGCTTTAGGAATATAAAACAAAAAAATAATGAAGTTCTATCCACAATTTTACTAAGGTCATTTCCATAGTTCTCATGTAAAGCTTCTCTTGGAAAGTGCATTATACACGTGTAATGATACAACACACTTACGCAATACTTTTATTATTAAGTGTAGGTTTTAAAAGAAGAGTAATGTAGAGCAGACACGATTGATGGAAGTTCTATGTACAGAATTTGTTAAACTAAGTACTGAGGAGGGGAAAATAGCGGAGACACTGGAGATAGGAAAGGAGCAGTCACAAACTTGGATTTCTCTCCTTCTTAGTGAGAGGTCACACACATTTCAGTCGTTCATACTTCCACACATGGGAAACTGCACTTTTACTAATACAGCTACATACACATACACAAGGTTAGCAGTAAGCTATTAATAATTCCACTACAGAGGAAGAGTCCTTCTGTTTAGAAAGAGCTTTCAAATACAAGATAGAAATTCCGGACTTCATGACCGTAAGTCCATG